GATCCCCGCCCAGTTAGGGGCGAGTGAAGGAGGCAACCAATTGATGTGTGTCTCTCACATCAATGCTTCCNGTTATAGGCTCAATCCCCAGCCCTGGTCAGAGCACAAGTGGGAGGCAGCCAACCAATCAATGTGTCTCTCTCACATCAATGTTTCTCCCCCCCCCCCTCTGAAAAGCAATGGAAAAAAAATATCTTCGGGTGAGGACTTAAAAAAAAGATGTATGTTTCAAAGATTTTTTGTTTGTTTTGGTAGTGCTGACATTTTAGTGAACCATCTCATTCTGACACCAGTGACGTGGGTTGGCTAGGAAAATTGACCAGGGGGTTTTTCTTAATGCGAAGATACTGCTTTTGTATTCAGCCAGTCTTCTCTGTTTTATCATTACGCAGCTCCATACACTGTTTCCGCATAGATCTAGGCATTATGCTGGCTGCTGGGCATACAAATATAAACGATATGCTCTGAAATGTATTTGTAGATTGAGACTACAATTTAGGGGAGAACCAAGAATTAATCACAGTAGCAGAAGGCCAAATGCAGTACCTGGCACGTAGTGGCCTTCAATAAATACTTGCTGGTGGAATGAGTACAGGAACAATTCTTTATCTTACTGAGATTAAAAACAACTGATTCCCAAAGAATTTGAAGAAGAGATTTATAAACCATCTATTGATTACATTGACGTGTTAATCTGAAGTTATATGTAGAGCAAAATACAATTTAACCAGAAAACAATGGATTGGGTTGTTGTAGTTGAATGTATTTTTACATAGCTGAGGGAGATCTTTTGGGACTCTTATCATTTGGGGTATTCTTTTTAACATGAGTATATTTTTCTGACCAAATAAACAATACTTAGCATAATTGAGGCTACAAAAATGTGGATCATTAAAAGTCTAATTTTGAATTTCATTTTCCATAATATGTGCACAGAGCTTTAGGTCAGGTCATATATATATATTTTTGCATTCTGAAACTTTAAAAAAAAAAAGAACTTCATTAACTCTTTTCATTAGGAAACTGCTTACTAATACAAAATTACATATTTGCTTCAGTGTACTACCTATAGTCCATTGTCCCTAGATTAAGAGTCACTGATTTTAGAAGGTGTAGGATGAGAGTGGGGAAGATTCCCTAAAGAAGGTTCCCAAGCTTGATAAACACATTGAGATGCAACACAATTTTGTTTTGTTTTCCTGAGAAACGTAGAATATTGCATTTTGCCACTTTTAAAATAAAGAAAAAGGAACACAAATTAGAAATATAACAAAATAGTTGAAAAATATATATTATTTTACCTTTGTATTATGGCTATATCCAGGCCAAAAATGGACAGGAGGGTGGCTGTAATGGGACAAGAAAATATGAGTAGAATTGTGTTGGAGTAGTGACATAAAGTAGTCCAGCCCTACTCCCTATAAAGCATAGCCATGGGAACTCAAGTGAGAAATTAGTTAAAGAATAGGTAAAAACTAAGGTTGGATAGTAATATCCTAGAACCCACCACCTATGCTATCAAAAAGGCAGACATTGAGCCTGGGCAGTGTTCCTCTGGTTGAGCTCAGAACCATGAACCTGGAGGTCATGGTTCAGTTCCCAGTCAGGGCACATGCCCAGGTTGCAAGCTTAATTCCCAGTAGGGATGTGCAAGAGGCAAGCAGTCATGATTCTTTCTCATCATTGATGTTTCTCTCTCTCCTCCCTTCCTCTCTCTGAAATCAATAAAAACATTTTTAAAAAAGGCAGTCATTGAATCTTAGGCTTGAGAGAGGCTTAGGCATTTGTTCTGCCATGACAGAAAATACCACTCTCAGATTTTAAACAAATGCATAAGCAGTACCACTTATTTAAGTTTAAATTCCTACTAAAGTGACAGTATAGAATATTTATCAGGAACTCAGACTGCCTAAGTGTTTTGTTTTGGTGTGATATTAACATATTTTTTTTATTGTGATAAAATAGACAAAGCAAAATTTACCATTTCAACTATTTTTTAGTGTACAATTCTGGGTCATTAAGTACGTTGACATTGTTGTTCAGCCATTGGACTTCCTAGGTTTTAATCTATGTGACTTTGGGTACATTACTTTGTCTGAGCCTCATGCTCCTCTGTAACAGGGTAATAGTACATGTGTCATGGCATTGTTGTGAGAATTAGATAAGTTAATGTATGTGAAGCATTTGGAACAGTGCCTGGGACCCAGTAAGGCCTGTATAGGTAACTCTGTATAGGTCAGTCTGTATTTGGGAAGCATTGAGATTCCCTTTTTCATTTTCATGGGGAAAACCCCTAACTTTTGCTTTGAAGATGAGGTCTTTGGACTTTGGTTTTCTCACTTGTAAAATGAAATTGAATTACTAGAATCAGTACTTTTTTTTTAAGTAGGGGAATATTTTTGCCCTGTGTAAGTAAAAATCTAATGTGGTACCTTGATCGCTAATCTGTTTGAAATGGGGCCTGTGTGTGATTATATTTGGTTAAAAGGAGCAGAAACTAAACTACAGCTCAAGCAGAAAAGAACTTTTGTTGTAAGGCCACAGAAGTATTTCAAGATATCCAAGGGACAAACCTAGTGGGACTTCAGAAAATGGCTAGAGCCCAGAGCCAGGGACGCCTCTTGTTTATGCTCTTGTTTTATGGTTTTTGTTCATGCTTCATGCTCCCTGCAAACTGACTTCCTCTGCTTCTTTGATATTTATGGTAGTAAAGTTGCCCCTTTCAGCCACTTCAGTGGAGAGTAAATGCCACTCTCATTCCAAACACTAGAGGAAGGTACTCAGGCCTGGTTTGGGGCAGGTTATCACTCTGATACAATCAGCTAAAGACCTGGGTGGTTGGGGGATTTGTCCATGTTGCACAAAATATCTGTGGTGGGGTGGGGGGAGAGGGGGACGGACCTGTCCTTAGTGTAGGAAACAGTTGGAGAGGAGGGTATCTTTTGAGCTAGAAGAGCCTGCAAAAGGTGTAGACTGCAGGAGGTGTGCTTAGCTTTTTCCCCCCTGAAGTAGACCCTGAAGCATCATCAGAGAATCCAAGTGTCCTGTGGAACAGGTTTGAAATTCTCTGGATTTTATATATTCTCTGTTACTTCTAGATCTGAAATTACCTGATTATCTGAAAAGTCTTAATTATCTGATTACAGAATTGCCTCACTTATTCAAGTTTCCCCCCTAATTAAGTAATAATATGCTGATTGTTGAAAACTTGGCAAGAAAGAAAATTTTAAACACTAGAAAACATCACACATAATTATACTAAGAAACAACTGCTATTAATTAATATTTGGCATTTTTGTTAATGCTTTTTTTTCTTTATATAATTTCATTATCTGTCAAGGATTAATTTGATTGTTAGGAACAGAAACCCTCTTGAATAAATTTGAGCAAAAAGAGGTTGATTGTGAAGAGTATCTTGGAACACAGTTACAGGAAACGGGAATGAACCTTATGGAATTTGGAAAGCCCCAGGCTTTTGCCTTTGTTTCTGGAGCTGTGTGGCCTTTTGTCTCTGCTGCTCTGCATGTCTCGTTCCATTCTCCATGCTGAGGGTGGCTTCCCCTGCAAGTGTCTCAGTTTCAGGCCCCCCCCCCGCTTTACTTGACTTTGGGTTACCCTTGTACTGATTTTAGCCACTCTACTTTTGTATTCTGGAATCAGACTGAAGTGTAATTCAAATACTAGAGTATCCAATTGGCTCAGAATGGGTCAGATTCTCTGTTTTGTTCAGTTAGGTGTCAGGAGACGGTCTCAGTAACAGTAGTGGCTAATTAGGGTCACCCCTGCAGAAGGGGGAAGGGGACACTTCCAGAGTATGGGCTGGGCAGCAGAGTCTCAAACTGGACTACTGTAAGAGTCTGCTTCTATTGATAAACATTCTCATAAACAGTTTGCCAGATCATTAAAGAGTCTTAATAAATAGAGTATTATGGACCATAATTTATTTAACTATGTTCCTTAATTTTGATATTTCGTGGTTTCCTTTTTTTCTTCTTCATAGTATACAGATTTATTTGCTGCCTGCACACACATTTAGAGATGTTCTGCATTTTTGAGCGCCTTTAAATCCTGTGAACTTGGAGAACATCATAGAGGGTTGACATTTCTATAATTTGAGGTCGCCTCCTGAACCTCTCTGGAACCTGGTTTTGTAAGAATTGAGGGCATCAGTGACGGCCTTCCTCCTCTTGAAGGCTAAGACCTATCAACTTTTTGGACAGAGTTTCAGTCTAGTGAAAACAGCCCAAGTTTTGGGATTTTGAACATGATTTTTGGCTAATTTCTGCAATTATCTGAGTTTCACTTTCCTCAAATATAAAATGGGAAAATATCCTGAGCGTGTTGGAGGTACTAAGTGAGGTAATGCATGTAAGCATTAATGCCTGTCATTTAATGCATGCCCAATATGTTAGTCCCTTTTATAGTTAGTGTCCTTGTGTATTCAGTAATCAATGTGGGACTGTTCTTAGCTATTCCCTCACTCTTGCCTTGCCGTAAGTTGATTTTTTAATTTTTAATTTTTTAAAATTTTTTATTTATTTTATTTTTTTGTATTATAAAATTGTACACCTGAAACCTATATAATTTTATGAACCAATGTCACTCCAATAAATTCAATAAAAAATAACATAAAGCAAAAAATTAAAATAAAAAAAAATAAAAGGAGTCTATTAGAAAAGGAGGCAAGAAGGGCTTTGAAGGTGAGCCTAAGGAACTTGGGCTTTAGCTGGTCAATGGACACAAAGCCATATATTATCCCAAGGGTACTAAAGAGCATCAGTGCCTCCTGCAATATTTTCTATTTTTTATTTTTTGTTAATCCTCACCAGCGGATATTTTTCCATTGATTTTAGATAGAGTGGGAGTCAGGGAGCGAGGAGAAGAGAGAGAGAGAGAGACATCCGTGTGAGAGAAACACCTAGATTGGTTGCCTCCTGCACGCGCACCACGGAGCAGGGGAATCGAACCTGCAACCCTTTGGGACGCAGGGCAATGCTAACCACTGAACCACGCCAGCCAGGGTGCTGCTGTATTTTCAACTGACGTGTTGCCATCCCTCTCCAGTTTCCGTCCAGCCGGAGGAGTTGGCCTAGATGTTTGATGGACGCGATCGGTGTGATCCTTGGTGTCTTCCAGCGCCTTGTTCTCTGCCGCTGATTTCAGTTCTCGCTGCAGTAGAAGCAGCGCTTAGCACTGGGTGGGGATGCTCCGGCAAAGCCCAGCACACCTGATATCCCGGCGGGGGAGGCGGATTTAGAGCGAAAGGAGACAAGCCTTGGGGACGAATCGCGCCGCGCCAAATTGATTTTTAAAAAAAATACACAGCTTTGGATGTGAATTGCAAGTATTTAAAGCACTTCCTGGGAATCAAGTATATTAGATTGCATTCTGCTGATGATCTATGACATAGCCTATTTGTATGTACATATAGTTTGTATTGTACCTCTTGCTGAATTTCAAGCCAGTTAACTATAAAAAGCAGGACAATTTATCATTAATATATTGCGTGAGTCACAGATTTCATGTAGATTAGTGATCCCCTTTCTGCTCCCCCCTCCTTTTTTTTAACAGATTGGAGATAAAGCTTGTTCTGGGGTGAAGACACATTTTTATGCTGTTTTTAAAAGAGCAATTAGCAGAATTGACTCTTTTCTTTCCCACTTCTGCATTTTTGAGTCATTGCCTATTCCCCCTTTTCCTCTCACAGGGTGGAGCCTGGATTAGTCACCAGTTTTCTTTATCTTAGCAGTTTCTGTTTATTTTTCTGAGAAGGATAAAGGCAGTTGTGTGAAGGGTTCTTTCTTTTTTTCTTTCACTCTTAATTAAACAGTGATACATAGCTTCAGTATTTGGTCCTCAGCAAGTTTACTCTTTTAGTTGAAATGGGTGTTATGTGTAATTATATGTTGCTGTACTCTTATTGAGCCATCTGTTCAGCAAGTATTTATTGGGCACCTACTATATCCAGACACTGGTATGTTCTGAAGATAAAGCCTTGGTCATTCCCCCTTCATTGAGTTTATAGTCTAGCAGGAAAGGTAGGCCATTTAACAGTGAGTGCTTTGATAGGAGGATTTTCAGGGCACTAATGATGGCCTTTTAATTTCCTTGTAAAATAGTAGCACTTCATAGTAGCTTGATGAAGTTATATGATTTGAGAATTAAAACTTTAGTGTCCTTTTGAGCTTCTTAGGCTCCTAGATTTTACAAAGGCTTCTTTGGTGTCACTGATCTCTAATTCTGTTATGAAATTGTATAATCAATCTGGAGATAATCTGGGATATTCTCCTGTCCAGTTAGTCCTTTCATAAGTACTTTATGCTTCTGTATTTACTATGATGCATGATGTAAAACATGGACAGTTACATCTAAACTTTACTCTCTTTTTTTGAGAGAAATGCTTCAAACTATTTTTATTGAAGTATAACATACATATAGAAAAGTACACAAATCCTAAATCTGTAGTTTGATGAATTTTCATAAAGTGAACATACCATGACATTACCATGGGGTAAAAAACCCGAATCTCACTGCCCCAGAAATTTCCCTTACCCTCTTTCAGTTATGACCCATTCTCTGTTCCCCTCTAGTCCCTGGCAACCACTAATTTACTTTATATCTCTATGGATTCTATTATTTTGTACATTTCATATGAATGGAATCATATTGCATGTGGCCTTTTGTGTCTGGCTTCTTTCACTTAGTATAAGGTTTTCAGGGTTCATTCATGTTGTATGTATTAGTACTTCATTCCTTTTTATGGTTGAATTTTATATCATATGGGTATACTGTATCACATTTTGTTTATCTGTTCATTTGATGGAAATAAGGATTTCTTCCACTTTTTGGCTATTATGAATAATGCTGTTATGAACATTTGTTTACAAGTTTTTGTATAAATCTGTTTTTGCTTCTCTTGGATATATACCTAGGGATGAAATTGGTGGGTCATATGGTTACTATGTTTGCTAAACTGTTTTCCAATGTGGCTGCATTTTCATTTTCATTTACATCAACAGTGTATGAAGGTTCTAATTTTTCCATATCCTGTCAGCACTTGTTATTGTCTGTCCTTTTAATTACCGCCATGCTAGTAGGTAAGAGGTAGTATCTTATAATTTTATTTGCATTTCCCTAATGACTAATGATGTTGAGTGTCTTTTCATGTGTTTATTGGCCATTCGTATATCTTTTTGTTTTTTTAAATGTCTAATCAAATCTTTTACCCATTTAAAAATTGAGTTATTTGACTTTTTATTGTTGAAATGTGTTCTTTGTATATTCTGTATACTAGACCCTTGTCAGATACATGATGTGCAGATATTTTCTCTCTTTCTGCAGATGGCTTCACTTTCTGGATAGTGTTCTTTGAAGCACAGTTTTAAATTTTGATAAAGTCTAGTTTATGTTTTATTTGGTTGCTTGTGCTTTTGATTTCATATCTAAGAAATCATTGCCCAGTCCACGGTCATAAAGATTTATTCCTGTGTTCTAAGAGTTTTATAGTTTTAGCTCTTATACTAGGTCTTTGATTCACTTTACTTTTTGTGTATGATACATAGTAGAGGTGTTACTTTTTTTTAAAATTTACCTTTATTGTTGAAAGTATTACAAATGTCTCCCTTTTTCCCCCATTGATCCCCTCCATCCTGTACAAGGTGTTACTTTTTTTAAACCATACTTTGAGATAGTTTTAGACTTACATAGAGTTACCACAAAAGTAATTCATGCAGCTTCCTCTAAAATTAACATTTTACATAAACATCGTAGTGATCAAAACCAAGAATGTAGCATTGGTATGGAACTATTTATTAAACAACAGAGTTTATTCATATTTCACCAATTTTTTAATGTCCTTTTCTTGTTTCAGGATTCAGTCCAGGTTCCTACATTACACATCAGTGTTAATGTCTCCATAGTCCTCTCCAGTCTGTGGAAGTCCCTCAGTTTTTTCTTGTATTTCATGACCTTCACACTTTGGAATAGTACTAGTCAGATATTTTGTAGGATGTCTCTGAATTTGGGCTTTTCTGGTATGTTCTCATAATTAGTCTGAGGTTATACATTATTGAGAAGAATAATACGTGATAATTCATCCTCTCTTTAAGGGTATGTTGATTTTTGTATGTGAGTTAATGTGTTTTTTAAATACTCAAGGATATGTTTATTAATTTTAGAGAGGGAGTAAGGGAGAAAGAGAGAGAGAAATATCAATGTGAGAGAGAACATCAGTTGGTTGCCTTCTACAGGTGCCCCAACCAGGAATCGAACCCACAACCTAGGTTTGTGCCCTGACTGGGAATGGAACCTTCAACCTTTCAGTATATGGGACAACGCTCCAACCAACTGAGCCACACCGGCCAGGGCATTAGTTAATGTTTATGTGGGAGATCAAGGCAGGTGTTTCTGGGGAAATGTAGTGTCTTCCAAGCCTGGGATGCTAGGTGGGGTTGTGCCATGGAGACAGATATTCAGTCACACTGCAATATTCAGGCACCCATTCACAAACAGCTAGGGTACATGCAGGCATTAATTTTCCCATGTTCAAGTAATATTATCAGTAAGTTAACTGTTATTCCTAATTTCCCTTTTCCTGGGACCATGATTATTCTCCCACTGAGGTAGAAATGTTAGGGTATCCAGGGGCAAGTGGCAGGTAGACGTATCATTAAAGAGAATAGCCCCATTTAAAACATTTTATAATGCTGTTTTTCAGTATATATCAGTATTTTTCTGAGGCCCATGTTTTCCTATCATATTATAATATGAAGTATATATGCTATGTCATCATTTTTAGGCCTTAATAATTATATCAAATAAAACTTGTTTCTTGTCTTATTACCTGGCCACCTTCCTCTTATTTGTTATAACATGGGAGATCTTATCCTAGGTGACAGAACCAGGGTGACATTAACTGATGTTCTCCGTCCCCCTTTGATGCCTCCCAGTAATGAGAGTGGTCTGGGGGACAGAGATGCCTGGACTTGAGCTGTGGAGAGAGAACTTCAAGTAAGAGGTGCCTCCAGGTACCAGGACCAAGCCACAGTTGATTAATTTACATATAGGTATCAGGAGCTAACAGACTAACAGTTATTGCCCAAGCTTATATTTAAACTTTTTTTTTCATGAAATAAAATATGTACATAGAAAATAATTCTAGTAACTAACAATGTGCAGTTCAAGATACTTGGCAGTGGTTACTTTTGTTTTTTTAGATAGGGAGTTTAATTGAGGTTTTAAAATTAAGCCCAGCCTGCATGGCTCAGGTGTTGAGCATCGACCTATGATCCAGGAAATTGAGGTTTGATTCCCCATCAGGGCACATGCCTGGGTTGCAGGCTCCATCCCCAGTAGGGGCGTGCAGGAAGCAACCAGTCAATGACTCTCATCGTTGATGTTTCTATCTCTCTCTCCCCCGTCCCTTCCTCTCTCTGAAATCAATAAAGATATATTTTTTAAAAATTAAGTATGAACTTTTCTGTTCTTAAGTACAGAGTAGACATTTGGATAGCTATAGTATATAACAAAATACTATTACTTTTTGAATATTTTATCTATTCCAAAATAAAATACTGGGTAACCCTAACAGAGTATATTAAAATGAAATTCTAGAATGCTGTTTGACAGTCTAGTACAACCAGTTTTTAAAAGGCAGACTTAATAGGTTATATAGTTCTTGTACCTTTCTAGCTTACTTAAATATATATAGCATATATAAACTTCTTAAATATACACACACATACACACATATATATACATATATACACGTTATATATACTTAGGGTACTCTTTTATAGGTAAAACATACCAACATTTTTTCTATATTGTCATGCTGGTGTTTTAAACCATAGGAAACCAAAGTCCAAAGGAACCATTGTGATTATGGTTAAAAAAAAAAAAAAGAAACTTTGTGTATTTGCTTTTGAGTGGATAGTTTAATCACAGGAAATAAAAATCTGAAGGGCACTTACGTAAAACTTATGTTAGAGCCTAAGATTACGCTATTACAAGTCTCTAAACTTCCCAATATGTTTTATACCAGCAAACCCCAGGGTGGTAACTTAGATGCAATGAGGTTTTCATAAAATATGGCTAAGTAGGTTATAAGCGTGCCATTTCTGCTTTAAAGGGAACAAGGTAAAGTGGTCTTAAGGGAGATGTATCTACACATAAAGAAGAATTACACATTAAATATTGAGCTGTTGAATGGACTTAATTTGAGGGTATATCCACTGATTGAAGAAATATTTTTTTAGTGTCTACTGTGTAGCAGAGACTGTTCTAGGTGTCAAGATAGAGTGGTGAACAAAAGAGACCAGATTCTTGCCTTCATTAATTGTGGAAACAGAGGTTAAGTGAGGTTGGTCAGAACATGGGATATAAAGCAGGGTAAGTAGAGAGAATATGCTTTGGTGTCATTCCCTGTTTCAGGAATGGTGGGGTGGTTTTCATGTAACATACTAGACCTTCGCCATAGACCTGGATTGAGGGCTGTGATTGCATGTTAATGATCACTATTACAGGTGCAATGAGAAATGGTGGCTTGTATACTTTGGAATCAGACCTAAATTCAAGTCCTAGCTCTGGCACTTATTAGAAAATAAGTTTTTGGGAGAGTTATTTAACTACTGTGAACTTGTTTCCTCTTCCATAAAGGTGGGAAGAATTGACAGGGTTGTGAAAATGAAAAACTCCAGAAGATGCTCATTAAGTATTTCCCCCCATCTTTCTCTTACCTTAGGTTTCTTATATGTAAAATGGGGATACCACTACTAGCCTTGTCTATTATTGTGAGAATGAAATAAATGAAATAAATATGTGAAACCAATTTAATATAGATTAAAATATGGTATTTCTGTATGTTATTTCTGGAAAGGGAAGATTTTCAGGCTCTCAGCAACTCTGGGGACTGGAAGAACTCATGGATTCTGCCAGAAGTGGGAAGTCATGGATCCCCACATTAGCAACCCAACATTAACATAATTTAGCTCTTTGTGTTGTTATCTCTCCTTTTTAAAAAAATACTTTAATAAGCTTTATTTTTAAAATTTATCTTTATTGTTCAAAGTATTAGAGATGTTTCCTTTCCCCCCACATTGATCCTTTCCACTCCACATCCACCCCACTCCCAGACCTTCTCCATAGCAATGTCTGTGCATGGGTTATGCTTATGGACATACGTTTGTTGATTAATCTCTCCCCACCCACTCCCCCAGCCCCATATTCCCTCTGAGATCCCTCAGTCTATTCCATGCTTCTATGTCTCTGGATCTATTTTGTTCATCAGTTTATTTTATTTTTTACATTCCACATATGAGTGAGATCATGTGATACTTGTCTTTCTCTGACTAGCTTATTTCACTAAGCATAATACTCTCCAGGTTCCTCCATGCTGTGCCAAAGGATAAGAGGGCTTTCTTTTTTACAGCTGCATATTATTCCATGGTGTAAATGTACCACAGCTTTTTTATCCACTCATCTACTGATGTGCACTTGAGAAGAATGTATATTCTGCAGCTTTGGGGTGGAATGTTCTGTAAATGTCAATTAAAGCCATCTGCCCTAGGGTGTCATTTAGGGTCACTGTTTCCTTGTTGATATTTCATCTGGAAGACCTATCCAGTGAAATCAGTGGGGTGTTAAAAGTACCCTATTATGACTATTTTGCTGTCTATTTCTCAAAGTCCTCTAGAAGTGTTTGTTTGTTTTTTTATAAATTTAGGTGGTCCTATATTGGGTGCATATATGTTTATCAGGGTTATATCCTCTTGTTGGATCAATCTCTTTAGTATTATGTGGTGACCTTTCTTGTCTTTTGTTATGATCTTCATTTTGAAGTCTATTTTGCCCGATACGAATATTGCTACCCCAACTTTTTTTCTTCATTTCCATTTGCATGGAAAATTTTTTTCCATTCCTTCACTCTCATCCTGTGTGAGTCTTTTGTTTTGAGGTGAGTCTCTTGTAGACAGCATATATTCGGGTCATGTTTTCTTATCCATTCAGCCACCCTTTGGCTTTTTATTGGAGCATTTAATCCATTTACATTTAAGGTTATTATTGATAGATACTTATTTATTGCTGTTTTAATTCTTTATGCCTATGTTTCTTTTTCTCTCTATTTCTTCTTCTAATTAAAGCAGTTCCTGTAACATTTGCCGCAGTGCTGGTTTGGTGGTGATAAACTCCTTTAGCCTTTTTTTGTCCGGGAAGCTCTTTATTTCACTATCTGTCTTGAGTGATAGTCTTGCTGGATACAGTAGTCTTGGTTTCAGATCCTTGCTTTGCATTACCTTGAATACTTCATGCCATTCCCTTCTGGCCTGTAGAGTTTTTGATGATAAGTCAGCTGACAGCCTTATGGGAGCTCCTTTGTAAGTAACAGATTGCTTTTCTCTTGCTGCCTTTAAGATTCTCTCTGCCCGGCCAGGCGTGGCTCAGTGGTTGAGCATCGACCTAGGATCCAGGAGATTGAGGTTCAATTCCCGATCAGGGCACATGCCCGGGTTGCGGGCTCGATCCCCAATGACTCTTTCGTCATTGATGTTTCTGTCTGTCTCTCCCTCTCCTTTCCTCTCTCTGAAATCAATAAAGATATATATATATAAAAGAAGATTCTCTCTTTGTCTTGAGTTCTTGGCATTTTAATTATGATGTGTCTGGGTGTGGGCCTCTTTAGATTCTTCCTGCTTGGGACTCTCTGTGCTTCCTAAGCTTGTGTGATTTTTTCCTTGGCCAGGTTAGGGAAGTTTTCTGCCATTATTTTTTCAAACAGGTTCTCTAACCCTTTCTTACTTTCGAGCTCTTCTTGCATTCCTGTAATGCGAATATTGTTACATTTCATGTTGTCCCACAGCTCACTTAAACTGTCCTCCTGTTTTTTAATTGTTTTTTCTTTTTGGGTCTCTGATTGAGTGATTTTTTTCTACCCTGTCTTCTAATTTGGTGATCCAACCCTCAGCTTCCTCTAATGTGCTGTTTATTCCTTCCAATGTATTCTTTATTTCTGCTACATCATTCTTAATTTCCTTCATAGTTTCCATATCTTTTTTATGCTGTGGGGCATCCTTACAATCAGTGTTCTGAACCCTATATCTGATAGATTGCTTATCTCCATTTCATTTAGCTCTTTTTCTGGGGACTTCTCTTGTTCTTTCATTTTGGGCTCTTTTTTTTTTGTCTCCCCATTTTAGCTGCCTATTTGGGTTTGTTTCTATGTATTAGATAGATCTGCTAGGACTCTCAGTCTTTTTGGAGGGTCTCTGGTGCAGGCCAATGTCAGATGCAGTTTGTGATTTGCCCTGAGTACTCTGTTTGGAGCTTTCAATCCTCTGCTTGAGGTCTCCTCTGCTGTGGCTGGGTGCAGTTGGACAGAACCAATGCACACCAAAGTCTGCTTTTCTAAGGCCTGGTTCCAGAAGCAGACCAGGCAAAGACTCAAAGCACCCCTGAGTTCTGCCTCTGCCTGTAGGCCCATTAATCTGATTCTCTTAATGAGCCTCAGGCTGTAGAAACTCCACAGGGTTGGATGAGAGGTTTTCCAGCAGGGTGGTGCAGTTGCTCTCCCCTGC